CTAATAATAATACTAATAATAATACTAATAATAATATTATTAATAATAATAATAATAATAAAAGTCTGTCAGAAAAGACCTACTTAGAAGTACATCTTTAAGCTGAACACACTCAGATAAATAGATTTACAGATGGGTAGCTACCAGTCTCTGCAGGCTGCAGTGAGGGAGGTTTGCAGGTGCAGACGGGGCAGTGTGAGGTCCAGGTGGCTGTGGACTAATGCCTAGACCTGCACAGAAGCCTATAGGAAAAGTGACAAAGAGTAGCGTGCTCTGTTGTCAAGATAGACTGGATGAACCAGGGAGACAGCATGCTTGGGGTTTGCTCACGCAACCGAATTTTGCATTTTCATTGTGTGCTTTTATGGAGGTTTACACCTAATCCACTTAAAGGAAAATTTCAAACATTCCATCAAACATTTTTTTTTTGTTTACATTTTTGTATTACTGCAAAGGCTGCAAGGTGGCTTGGTGGGTAGCATGGTCGTCTTGCAGCTAGAAGATCCCCGGTTTGCGTCCCGGTTCGGATGCCTAGGATCTTTCTGCATGGAGTTTGCATGTTCTCCTCGTGCAGCGTGGGTTCTCTCTGGGTTCTCCGGCTTCCTCCCACAGTCCGAAAACATGTTGAGGTTAATTGGTGATTCTAAATTGTCCGTAGGTGTGAATGTGAGTGTGCTTGGTTGTCTGTCTCCAAGTGTAGCCCTGTGATAGACTGGCGACCTGTCCAGGGTGTCCCCTACTTTCGCCCTGAGTCAGCTGGGATAGGCTCCAGCCCCCCTGCAACCCTAGTGAGGATTAAGCTGTGCACAGATAATGAATGGCTAGATGGATGTATTAGTGCAGTGTCTATCACTGTTACATATATATAATTTTTCATCACCTAGGCCTAAGGCATGCGTCCATTTCCAGCAGGTTGGATTCATGAAGACTCATTCCGAACATTACTGCTTGATTTTGGATTGTTTGGTTCTCTTTATAAAATTTGTAAGGTCTGTATCTTACTATGTTAAGCACTGTGAGACAGTGACATGTGGTCAGGGGAGGCAGGTGAGGCAGAGCCTCACCTGACATCATGGAAAGAAAAAAATACATAATGATAAAATAATTTAAATAGATTTATCCAGTGATTTGTACTATAAAGTATTCATTTTCTCATTTAGCCTCGTCAATTTTGATGATTTTTAAATTCAAAATCGCTCAATTTTTGCAGTTTCCAATTCAAATGCTTGGAAGAGAAGCCGGTGAGGCAGTGGCGAACTGAGCCTCACTTGGATTGCACAATGCCTCACTGTGCTGGCTGCCATGCGTAGGCTGTCACTACATGGCAGCCAGCGAAGTGAGGGATTGCGCAATCCAAATGAGGCAGCAGCGAGCTCAGCCTCACTTGGATTGTGCAATCCCTCGCTACCTATGCTGGATGCCATGCAATGACAGCGTGCTGCTGTCTGGATGTCGCCAATAACACAGTTCAAACAAATTTAATATATGAACTGATTTTCCATAGTTTAGCTGATGTATATAATAATGTACAGTGTTTTTTTGTTACCAACTGTATGTGTGTAATCTGTTTCATAGATAGCCTTCAATTTTGCAGTGGTTGTCTCATCAGTCACTGTTGACACCATATCAAGAGCAGTCAGGAGTATGAAATCCTCAGCTATTGAATGTGGTTTCTTGCACTTGGTGATTCTGTTACAGGGCTTCAGACTAACCCTTCCAATGGTAGCACTGGTCCTACCACTTTCTTTGTTGGTCGCACCAGCTAATGATTTGGTCACCCCACTCCCTTATTTTGGATCAGCATTGCCACAGCTATTCATCCACCATGCATGCTGATGAATAGCTGTTTTTGCATAACTTAGTTATGTTGCACTGATTTTCAGTGATACAAGACTTGATATTTTTTACATGTTTTAACCTGAAAATATATTTATTTTGTCACCAGTCCTCTTCTGATATCAGTCACTAACTGGACTCAGGCTAAACAACTGCTGAAATTGCCCATGGGTAGATGCTGCATTTTACCAATGTTCCCTAAACGCCTCCCATTGTAGAAGATGCCTTGAAGTGCCATATCATTCCATCCACTCTCGGCAGCCAAAGTGTGGAACTTGATCGAATAGTCGGCCATGCTTCTGGTCCCCTGCTTGAGCGTAGTCAGATGAGTTCCTGCTGCTCGACCCTGGACTGGATGGTCAAACACCTTCTTTATTTCCCCAACGAAGGCTGAGTAAGAAGCACAGATTTCAGTTTGTTTATCCCACACAGCAGTACCCCAATCTTGTGCTGGGCCCTTCAATAAACTATTTAAATAGGCTATTTTAGCTCTATCTGATGCATATGAACCTGTTTGCAGATCAAAAACCAAAGAGACTTGTGTCAGGAAAGTTTGACATGACCCTAAGTCCCCTGCGTAACGCTCTGGGACTAGTACAAAAGGCTCCTGAGCGAGCGGAAGAGCAATAGCATTAGCTTCAGCAACTACAGGGCGAGGGAGAGGAAAGGGAGCTACAGCTTGTGAGGGAGTGGGCGAAGCTTGCACATGGGCAGTAAATGTAGCGACTTTACCAGTCAACTGAGAAACCTGATTTATCAGAGCATTATTACTTTCTACTAATAAACGAAGTAAATCATCATGCCTACCTAGCATAGCCTCATGATTGGCCATAGCTTGTTACATGGTTGGTAATGGTGGAGCCTGCTCAGCGCTGGTTCTCTTGTCCACTGAGTTCATCATGGCCGTACCGTACTGTTACGAATTGGACTCAGAGACTCAGGCACGGACAGATACACAGCAGAGACAGGCTTAGTGAAATAAAGTGTCGTTTTATTTACAATAGTGATAATAAAGATTAAAAAAAACAAAACAAAACAACAACAAAAAAAGAATACTAAACTACAATAT